ATCAAAGATATGTATGTGTGAGGTATAATTAAAAATGTGGCAAACTTTAGATAGAAAATTCATTAGCGTAAAAGACACCTTGCCATTAACCCCTTTCAGAACACTCTCTCTTGCTTCAAGCACTCTCTTCTCCCATCCTTCTTGCTGCTTTTGAAGGAGATCGCTAAGTCCTCATTTGTGTCTTCAGTTGCACTGTTCTCGTTGGCACAAGGGATACAAAACTTTTACTTTTCACGGTCATTTTGACTTTGGGGAAGAGCCAGAAGTCACACAGTGCCAGATCCGGTGAATAAGCATGCAGGAGGGTGCACCATGCTTTTATTAGTACCGGAAGTGATGTGTGATATGTGGTGCTGTCATGGTGGAGCAGGAAAGCCTTTGCCCACACAAAAGAGCACTTCCAGAACCACTTCAGCAAGTGGGAAGAACAGGAAGGTGCATATGTTCAGTGTGAGAGGGAGCATTTTGAGGAGGATTAATAGCAACCTGTCTATTACTGTGATACATTTTTATGTAAATATTCACTATCTACTTCAATCACCCAGTGAACAGGTGCATCTAAATTTATATTCACAGAAACTCTAGACTACTGTTTGAGTAAATACTGAGGTACTGTAACCTAGTCAACATGAAATGAAAATGTATCACACTTCTCCATACATTACAGTTTGGCATTCAAATTAGAACAACAACAAGATACCATCATATTTTTAAAATCTGATATCAAATGCTGGAAAGGACACAGAGCATCAGGACTTCTCAATCCTGCAGGTGGGAAGACAAAGTGAAAAGGTGATGTTGGCAGTGTCTTAGCTAAAAACTCTATCATTCAGTACCGAAACCCACTCATAGGTGTTTACCTAACTGATTTGAAGACTTATGTCCACATAAAAATCTACAGGCAATTACTCATATCAGCACCAAAAGCAGAAGTAATCAAGGTGTCCTTCAGTAGGTGAATGTGTAAACAAACTTGATAAAATGGTTTGTGATTCAGGCATACAGAGAAGTGAGCTATCAAGCTGTAAGAAGACACAGAACATGAAATGCATATTGCTAGGAAAAGAATCAAGTCTGAAATGGCTCTTTGATATCTAATGACAATGATACAGTATCATGAAAAAGGCAAAATGGTAGACAAAATCAGTGGTTGCTGAGGGGTTCGCAGTAGAGGATGCCATGCACGGGTAGCAGGTGGGGAAGTGTTTAGGTCAGTGATAGAAACTTTATGATACTGTAATAGTGAATAGCAGAAATAATCCATTTGTTAAATCCATAAAGCTGCAGCATAAAAGTTAAAGTACAATGTGTAAAAACAATTTAAGTAAATTGATATATAGTATATGCAAACTATCGCTGTAATAATAAGTTAGAAGGCCAGAAGATCCCAAGACTCAATCAAGACTATGACAAAAGGATCTAACTACATTACATGTGTAGCAAAGAATTTCATTGAGAGAGATGGAAAAGTAGCTAAGTAAATTCTAAGTAGATCTATCAGAGTAGATGCAACAGAAAATAGGTATAAGGGAAAGCCCTTGCAACTTAGCAGTGCTACATTTGCATATGATAATTTAACAATTAAATAAACAGAAGGTGATTGGAACCAAGTTTCACACTGTCAGAAATAAACAAGGAAAGGCATCTAGAATGATCCATGTGGCAATTGACTGGAACTGGACATTCCTGTATCCATGCTTATATTTTAATTTCATTGATACTTTGTACATACACATAATGATAGCATTAATTACATGGAATTGGTACTTGTATATGATGTATCTTGATTTTTCTTTTTTCCCTTTCCTCCCCTCCTCCCTTCATCCCCTCTTTGTTTCCATATTTTCCTTCTATTCTCTTTATTTCTTTACTCCTCCTTCCTTTCTCCCGCCCTCCTCCCTAGTTCCCCTTCCCATTTGAAAATTTTCTTCCTATTTCCTATCTATTATACATTTTGGTCCCGAAATACACTTTCAATTTTTCCCACCCAATAAACCAAGTGATATTGAACATTTGTATCAGATTTACTTCAATTAAGTGTGTGGTTACAAGGTGTACCCATTCATCTAGAAATGTTTTGAGTTTATCCTTCTTTATGAATGAATAGTAATTCACTGTGCAAAAAACACATTTTCTTTATCCGTTCATTGGTTGATGGACAGGGCTGTTTCTAAGACAGCTTTTACAAAGTGTGCTGCTATAAACATAGGTGTTATGGTAAACATGAGTGCTAATACTTTCAGTAGGATACCAAGACAGGGAATAGTGGGTCAAATGAAAGCTCTAGTTTTAGTTTTTTGAGGGATCTCCACACTGATTTCCACAGTGGTTGCACCAGTCTACACTCCTCCTGACAGTGGAGAAGGGCTCCTTTTTCCCCACAGTCTTGCTAGCATTTGCTATTTGTTGATTTCTTCATAATAGTCATTCTTTCTAATGTGAAAAGGTGAGAAGTGTCTATTAATCTCAGATGTTCATTTTTGGACTTGGTTTTTAAAGCTGATGGTCTGGATCTTCTGTTTGTTTGTTTTTTACCTCTTCCTATATTCTAGATATTAGTCCCTCGGCTGAGGCAGAACGGCCAAAATTTTTCCCACTGTGTGGGTTGTTGCTTCATTCTGTTGGTGGTTTCTTTTACTGTGAAAAAACTTCAATAAGATGGGATCCCAGCTGTTGATTCTTTGTGATATCTCCTGACAGTTAAGATTTGGTTCATGAACTCTCTGCCTAACACTTATGTCTTTGAGAGTTCTACCTATTCTCTCTTCCACAGGTTTCTGTTTAAAATGTAGATGTTGACCCGGGATTTAGCTCAGTAATTCAAGTGCCTGCCTGGCAAGTACAAGGTCATGAGTTGACCCCGGGTGCCAAAAATAAATAAATAAAATTTATATCTTTGATCTATTTATTTTGTTTTAGTTCATGATGAGAGATATGGGTCTAGTTTAACTCTTTGACATGTGGAAAGTCAGTTTTTCCAGCACCATTTGTTAAAGACATCCTTCCAGTGAATGGGTTTGGGCCCTTTGTCAAAGATAAGATGTCTGAATATGCTGTGAAATATTTCTGCCACTTCTGTTCCATTGATCCTTGGGCCTATTGTTTGTTTTTTGTCAGTATCATGATGCTTTTATCAAAGTAGCTTTGTAGTATAATTTCATGTGATGCCCCCTGCCTTGCCTTTGTTGCTCAGAACTGCTTTTGCTATTCTGGGTCTCTTCTTTCCAAATTAATTTTGTGATTGTTTTCTTCAATTCTGTGAGATAAGCGATTGATATTTTGATCAGGATTGTATTACATCTGTAGAAACATTCTGGAGAGATGGCCATTTCCTACCCAAGAGCAAGGGATATCTTTCCATTTTCTGATATCCTCTTCAATCTCCTTTTTCAGAATACTGTCATTTTCAATGTAAAGGTCTTTTACTTTCTTCATTTTTTTGGACGTAATTGTGAAAGGTATGATTTCCCTACCTAATCTTTCAGTGAGTTTGTTATTTGTGAACAGGAGTGCTATTGATTTTCAAGTGCTGACTTTGTGGCAGCTACGTTACTGAATTAGTTATTAAACCTCGGAGTCCTTGGTGAAACTTCTGAGTCTTCTGTGTAGATTATCACATCATCTGCCAACAATGACAATTTTTATTTTTGTTTCAGTTTATTCCTGTATTGATGTTTATAAATTATTTATAGGTATCTTTATTGTAGTATTGTGAACACGTAGGAAATGACTACTTCTCAGATATACCCTGAGGTGTACCTTGCTTTTGGCTTTTGAGTTTGTTGCAAGATCCTACTTCTTCAATTTATTAGGAATAAGAAATTGCTGCCTATTTGGCCTAGTTCCTGTTTATTTGACACTGTTCTTTAATATTACTTATGACAATCCAGCAATTGCAGTCTTTGCATGCAAAGAAAAACTGATTAGAACAATTATGTCACTTGGCTGAACTAGGACAATCATTAATAACAATAACATCAAATACTCTGTAGGAAATGACATACTGAGAGAACGACCAATTTATCATCTTTAACTGTATGAACTGCTTTGGTAGACATATTACCAAATCTAAAATAAACCAGAAAATTGTACAAATTATTTCCTCAATATGGCCATTTTACTGTCATGAAAGAAACTTTAAAAAGACGGCGGGGGGGAGCGGGGATGGAGAAATAGAGAAAGCAAGGAAAAATCAAAAGCGGAATACAAACCTTTGGGAACTGGTGAAGAAGACAGGAGGCACGGAAAGAAGGAAGAAACAAACAAGAACAAAGCAAAACAAACAAAAAGCTAAAAACAGTATTCTGACTCATATAAAAAAGAATGAGCAATCAAAAAAGAGAAAAACATAGAAAAAATTAATTAGTAAAGAAAGAAAAAAAAAGCATGTTCCCCTCAGGAAGTGTCTGTGTTGTAACTGATTGACAGAGGAGGCAGACAGAGCCCAGAACCACACTGATTGATCCCCGCAAGCTAGCAGTAGAATTATGACAGTGGTAGATAAATCCAGCAAACCTACACCTTTAATTCCACTCAAGTTCAGGCTGCTTAAAGGTTTCTGTCCGTGAGACTCGTACCTAAATTTTTCATCGCACAACACTGAGTGTTTCCAGCTTGGACTCCGCTCCCTGCTGACTTGGACTGGGTCTCCTGATCTCCTGCTGACTTGAATTTGGATCCACCTCCCCCTGACACTTGGAGCTACCAGATAGCACCCACCCAAGGCTGCTCTGATTTCTGACTTCTGCTGCCCCTCTTCAAAGTGGCTACCATCCAATAGCCCTCCCCTTCAGGAATGTCTGAACCCAAATAACTCACCAGCCCCTGCAGCCCACATGTCTGCCGCTCTGTTGCACTGATGTGTTTCTCTATGGAGACCTCTCGGGGCACCACTGTGCCTGCCAAGAGCCAGGGTCAGGGGACAAAGCACCACTTGCCACCTTCCTCCCCCAAGGGTCCTTATCCTCTCTGTTTGTGGGCTCTGATTCTCATATCATACCCTTGCTGGGGCCAGGGATCCACTTCCTTCCTTCTTTTCTTCCTTATGTTGCTACATTCCAGCATCTAGATTCCAAATATCAGAGAAGCTGTTTCACTACTGTCCACCATTCCAGCATCTTCCTGTAAGTCTCAATTTATGTTTAATAGAAAATAGAATACAAGAAAGGATGGTTACATAAAGATATATACATTTTTTTCATTGCTCTATTGCCTGAGAGGACCTAAAAGAAACAACATTCAAATAATGGAGCACACTTAGTGCCCTGATTTTGGTTCATAATATCTTTCTTAATAAATAAGGAAGGAAAGTAAGAAAGAAAGAAAGAAAGAATCTTGAATAAATGACTAATTTTTCAACTAGCATAGTATTTTGCAATGCAAGAAAGTAAGGAAATATTCCTGAAAATCAATCTCTAAACAAACAAACAAAAAAAAGGAGCAGGAGGAGGAGGAAGAGAAAGAAAAGTCACAAAATATAGGATATTGAGAACCTATGCCAATAGGCATAGGAGCCAATGAATTAAAACCTACCAACGGTTAAAGCTAGAAAAAACTGACAAAATAAATCAAGCAATGTGTCACTAGAACCCAAAGTATAAAACAAATACCTGAAACCAAATCCATATAAATATATTATTGACTGCAGTAACAAATTAGGTGGAAGAGACAACTCCCCCATACAGAGAAGTACCAAATATCTTATGCAGATATTCTGCCATATTGAGTGGAAAACGTAGGCTTCTTATTCCTTAAGTGTTGGCTATGCTGAGAGATTTTTTTCAGGTAGATTATTATTAAAAAAAAGACAAGTAACTGTTAACTTTGATGATTACTATTGTATTATTGATTATTTTTAAAGGTAGCAATATACCACAGTAAGGCAAGATATTAAGAAGAAGAAATTTGTGACATAGGATATAAGAACCTCCTGAATCATCTTCTCAAGTTTTCTCTGCATTAAAATGTTCTTCAAGTGTAGTCTATATAAAAATTGAAATCATTTGGTTTACATATTACTTTGTTTCACTAAATATCATATCTAAATCTAGTACATGTTATTTCTATTCCAAGCATAAAAGGAATTAAAGCCACAATAAACTTTAATGATTCACAAAAAGTCTTAGATAACTTTTCTAAATAATTCACTTAAGGTGGCCAAGATAGGATTATAATGTTTAATAATGCAGCCTTTTAAAATGCAGAGATGGGAAAGTTATAAATTCAATGAAATATGAGGGTTGTCTAAAATTCTTTTAGAAACACATTTTAGTTATTAAAAATAAAACGCTCATTTAAATTTTAATAAAATTCTACATCCACACTGCATGTAGTTATTTGATTCCAGATGGATTCTTTTCTCTCAGGCTTCCTTGTTCTGTGTCTTTATTTCAGCATAATTATAGAGGGCACTAACTATTTATTTGCTTGTATTAGAAGAGATTTACATCTTACAAAGATGCTCACAGCACAGTTACATGGAAAAACATAGGTCATTTCTGTTTGTCCTTTACATTTCAGAGAAGACTCATAATGTTGCCTGGTCAGTGCTATTGAAATCTCTAAAACTCTTCATTTAAATTTCTTCAGAGGAAGTTTGAGTGATTGTAAGCTCATCAGCTGAGACTACAGTACAGTGAGTGGTTTTCCATGCCATTCTTGTAGCCATCAATTTATTTATTTGAAAGAGAATTTTGCTTCAGAATTTATTATCATGAATATACTTTCTTTCAAGCAATTCTAAGAAAATAGAGCTTAATTTTGGGAGAAAAATGGTATCATGGAAATCCCACACAAATATTACTATGTCATTTTATTATGTAGTTACTATTTTATTTACCTTATACTTAAACAAACATTTCTACTAATGGTAAACCATCTACCATCGAGGATGCCAAAAAAGGCATTTAGGAGAAAAACAAGCAAACAGCTGGACCACGTCTTTGCTCATTTCCTTCTCAAGATGCTCCTGTTTTCACCCTTTGTTCTTCTGACTTTGGCCTCTCCCTTTACTAATACCACCATCCTTCTGGGAAGACCCAAATATTATAAGCAATGGCAGAATCAAAATAGATTCTACAACCCAGCATAATACCCATAGAATGTTCTTATATATATTGTCCAATCTCTAATAAATAATTTCTAAACCGGGCAAAGACCAGCTGAGAGAAACTAGATCTTCTACCCAAAGAAATGGCCAGTTTGCTAAATATTCACTATCATGGGCTAAATTCAAAATTAATAAGTCATAATATGCAAGTGTACTTAGTATTTATTTCTATCATCAGCTATAATGGAAACTTTGAATATTTAGCATTTTGCACTAGCCAGATCGCCTGGATTCCATACATGTTTTAACTGGAAGAGAGGATCATAGCACCGTAATACAGGCAGAACCAGCCCCTAACAATCTTGGGAGACATCCATCTACCCATCTTGCTGGGCCACTTTCTTCTCTAACTGGATTCTCTATACCTGTGAGTTGCATCCTAGTGAATAAAGAACTTGGTACTTAGAAGTGGAATACAACAATTCTAAAACTTATGTAGCATTGGGCTAATTAACCTCAAATTTGACTCACTAAGAAACTCCTGGGGGGAATAAAGAAAATCCCAGAGAAGTGATTGGGTTACAGTTTGCCATACTCATGAGCACATCATCCACTCACACTCATAGCAGAATGCACTGTTGGGAGGCCAGGACCAGTTGGAGGATGCGGTATGGGGTTTTGGGAGTGTGGCTTTCACTGGCCTCAAAAACAGAGCAGCTCCATTTCACCATGTCTCTCTTCTCCGTAACATTTCTGCCTCTGAGCCAGCAGAACACAGAGTAAAACCTCTGGAACTGTGGGCTAACACTCTTTCCTCTTCTGAATTGCGGTGTTAGGGATTTTGTCCTAATAACAGACAAACTAGTACAAGCACTCGTGAACATTCAAGAACAAGCAATCTGGAAACAAGGAATGCAGCCTGCTGGCCCTTATTATGCCCTAGAAAACCATTTGGTACAATATTCACCCACCAAATTTCTCTTCTCATTCTCAGAATATAGGAGAAACTATTGGAAACATTGAGAGAATTTACTTATTTTGGCTACTTTTTCTGCCTTTAGCAAGATACTGAACGAATGGAATGAAGTCAAGCAAACATATGTGAAGTGTAAAATAGCTCTATTGAGTGGTTTTTTGCTGCCAACTGTAAAAGATATTGACAGTGTAGTAGTTTGGGAGTGCTGAAAAGTTGGGAAAGTCAGCTTTATCTGCAGATAAAAGAGAAGAAGATAAGTATTGAAAGTGCTTTTCTTTAGAATATAACATCAAGGATAGGCATATCGACACACTACCAGCCAAGACAGTAGGATCTTCATGAGTTCAAGGCCAACCCTGCTAGATATGGAGCTCAGACGTGGCCTAGAATATATAGAAACCCAGTCTCAGAGCAAGCAAATGAATAAAAGAATTCTTACATCAAGGCTTTACTGTCAGACAATTAAAACTAGGGTAATAACTATATAACACTAAATTATTTAACCCGAAAACTAGTTGTGGTTATTTCTTAAAATTACTGACAGAAATAAAGGTTGAATTCATACACAGTTAAAAATGTTTCACAACCTTAGTAATTAAACCATCCAACATAAACACTTGGGAAATATTAGTAGATACAAATTACTAGGAGATATATATATATATATATATATATCCATTAAAAAGTTGCAGATACTGACAATAATTTGCACAAAGAAAAACTGAGCATCAAAAAATGTAAAGATGATTACTAAGATGGGACCCTAGTGTTGATTCTTTGTAATATTTCCTGTGCCATCAGAGTTTTATTCTTGAAATGTTGTCCTGCTTCTATGTTTTCAAGTAGATGATAGACAAAAAATTATTTACCTTCTACAAAGTAAACAAATACTATATATAACTATTCCAAATAGCAAGAAGCATAAAAGGAAAAAAATCATCAATTAATCATTCAGTCAGATATAGATGTCATAGTCAAATGAACTCACTCACAAACCAGTACAGAGAGATTAAAAGACAGTAGCCAGGGACAGAAAGTTTTTTAACTTTCCAACAACCTTGGGCTTTATATATCATAAAGCTTCAATTTTCAATAAGAATTTTCCACATGAAATATCTAAATGGGGTGTAATTATGAACTGGGACCTCACAAAGATAAATCCTTACCATCATGTGGGAAGAAACTGTTCCTCCAAATGGCTGAATAATTCACAAAGCAAGGAAAACAATCTTTTAGGTATAATTCATTTAATTTGCTTTCTGTTCACTTTTTCTGTATTAAGTGCCTTTCTGAAATTGATTTTTCTCAATAAGTATTTTTGTATTTGGATGTTGTAACTAGAAATTCAACAAAAAATTGCTGGTTGCACCTGAGTTCTAAGCACCATGAAAGCACACAAATCTCCCAAACTTAACAGAATTACACATCATCACTGTAAAAGAGTGAAAAGCCCATTTGTCTATCAAGAGAGAGACATTCTCGTTTTCCATATCTAATCTTTAAAACTACACATTTTAATATATCTTTTAATTTACTATTTCAATAAGGCAATGTAATAGAATTATACAAAAATTGAGCGTTCTATTTATGGAAATTAAGTGATTCTTAAAATTTTTAATTTGGAATTTATTTACACTGCTGGAAAAAAATCTCTGCTGGGTTTCTGGATGAAGATGAACATTTGAGACCATCACCACAGCAACCGAATCTGTAAATAATATTGTGTTAGTCACAGGGAACACAATGTATGCTGTTTTTAATATTTCTGTGTTTACATTTTGTCGCTGATAATTTATGTGCAATCTAACTCTAAATTTAGTATGTGAAAATTATTCTCTCAAGTTAAAATAGCACATCAATCTTAATTTTTTCAAGGTTAATTTTTATTTTATTCCATAAGTAAAGTAACTATCTAGTGAGCTTTGCTGATAATGATAGTTATTAGTTTTTATTTGACATAACAAAACTTATATTGAAGTTTGTACATTTGGTATAATTTGCTGCACTGAAAAATAGCCATTTTTGGCATCAAGATGTATCTGGATTCTAGTCATAATTTTGTCACATTGATATTTTCTCTCTTCTTCAAAAAGAAATGA